TTATATGTTTTTTATATTTACTCTTGGACTTGACATTTTATTTGTTTATTGTGCATTGATTTTTTTCTTTCAACTGTACTTTTCAACCAAAGAAATAATTACTTTTATTATTGAGTTGATCAGTATTTCAAAATATCATATTCCCGACTATAGACATGTGAAGTTCAGCTTCTTGTGCTCCATAGTCCGATACGATGGTAAAAGTACTATTTTGAAAATACCAAACATAACCTAATTTCAATCTTTAATAATTCTGGATTCGCAAAAGGTACACATTCAAATTAACTTCTTTTATTCAACATAATTTGTTAAAACATATGATAACCCTCGACTGAATATTTTTCCCGAAAGAATTTATCTAAGTTGGAGCCGGGATTATTCTGCAACGTTACATGGCTAAGGGACTGCGAATAGCCATGATGCTTCATAAGTGGCTCGGAGAGTTATTAACATTGTCTAACCAGGACACGAGGCTAATGACCAATGTAGTCGATACCGATGACAAAAAAACATATGATAACTTTGTTAACTGATAACGACAAGGTGAAATCTGAAGTAGCACCTCTTCAAAAGACTACAATGAAACATTTATATAATTTTAATTTCTTTCAACGAATTTTGTATGGGCATTAAAAAAAACACATCTTTCATTTTTAACCTACGTGAAGTTTTCAGAAAAATCATAAAGATCGCCATATTGATGACGAACCTATTAATTACAAAATTTGGTAATCTGTGTAAATCAAGAATATAATCTGAATATGCCATCAGAAGATCATCTGAACACATCTCAGAAAAAAAAAACACAGGAAGTCACAAAAAAAACCCGGAAGAGGAACATATCATTCAATCAAATAGGTTCAACCTGGAATGATGTGCATTAATTGTTATTTGGAGTTTTATGAGATGATGTCAAATTTTTGGGACAGACTTCTCTTCCATATACCACTAGCGATCCGTCCGGCTTCGCACGGATGTAATGCTGATACAAAATTTACACAGTTTTATTCCTATTTATTCATGATTATCTACATTGTAATTCCACAAACAAGTATGTGTAATACTTCTAAGGATATTGTTATATTTATTCGTTTTTATATCCAAATCTTATATTTCTGTATCGATTTTCTCTTTACCACCAATAGTAATTTTTATTATCATTATTTAAATGCGTGCTATTGCTGCTAATCATATAGTGCCATAGGGCAAAGCACGGCCTTTGACGTTTTAATAATAACAATATTCATTTTCCCACAAGACAAGAAATGGTCAATGTATAATGCAAGGGCACTAAAAAAGAGTACAGTCATTTAAGAATACTTATAGGCACGCGCCGCCAGCCCCCCTGCCGGTACCGCTGCAACCGTAATGTCCCTACATTTTGAATCTGTAATATCTTCGAAAATATTCATTTCAATTACATGCTGTGAAGGCCCATATTGATCCATATTAAATGCACAATGTATTTAAGGTAATTAATTGGATAAGGATTAATGCTGTATTACTTAAAATCGCATCGTAAATAGGCCACTATTTCTCGAAGATTAAAAATGGTTATTGTGGGTTATTCCTAAGAGACAGACATATACCATCCCGGACTTTTTTGTAGATTTTTTTAAGGTGTACAATACTGTAATACAATATTTTGATATATCTCGTAGGGTTCAGCCAGCGTTTGCAAAGTAAGCCCAAAAAATGTGTTTATCTACGACATCACATTAGAAACCGCTAAAATTATAAAAATTATGTATTTTATATACATATATAAACCTTCCTCTTGAATCACTTTATCTATTGAAAAACCTGCATCAAAATCCGTTGCATAGTTTTAAAGATCTAAGCATACATAGGGACAGACAGCGGGAAGCGACTTTGTTTTATATATGAAGTGATGGTGAAGTGATATTGTGTAGGAATCCTGTGAATGATATCTGATTTTATTCCACAACGAATTTTTGAAATACAAACTGAGTAGAGAAAGATTTTTTTTGTACAATTCAATGTTCATATAAAAGCAGTTGTTTCGAGAGAATTTTTTCTTTCAGTTTATGTCTGGAAGTTACTTTTTTGCATGATTTACATATTTACATTTACTTTGTATAGAGTTACTTTTTTGAAATTGTTTGCTTGCTCTCTTTCTTCGGAAGATTCCCACATTTTTTGTATAAAGATGGAGAAGTAGAAAGCGAAAACCTCTCTTTCCGACTTTTCGAAAGTATTTTATAGAGAGACTATTGATATTCTTGAGGGCCATTAAAATATTTTCCGAACTCTTACCACATAATAAAAATGTTGATCACTTCTTGCAATTCACGGCAAACTACAGTTGATAGAGTGATTTTTTCCCTATTCCTATAATCGCGTCCCATCAAAAGCGATCATTTCCAGTAAAGAAAAATAAATACTACTGAAATTTACGTAAGTTTTAAAATCCTGTTTTCAACAGAAGTTCATCGAAAAAAAACTCATTATATCACATTTAGAAATTAATTTTCCGACCAGTGCAACAGGCTTCTCTTTCTCTAATTGAACCTCTTCTGAAATGGCAAAGAACTCAATGACGTCATAGACGCAGTTACATTGAAGTGAATGGAATGTTTCCTCGCTTCTCTGCATTTAGGAAAGAAGCTGAATCGGAAGCAAAACCGAGTTGAAATTGGCGAGATCGATAAACGCAGACTAACGATTTCGGCCGTTATAACGTCATTTGCACCATTTTTCTCGTGTGTTTGAGATATAATAATTAGTTTTTATCGACCCTTTCTGGGGATTCAATTTCAGTGATAATTAAATTCAGTAATGGAGAACTTTATACAGTTGTAGAAAGGACAAACATGATTATATCGCAGTTATCTTCTTGAAAGTTTTTTTTTGTGCAAATTTCTTCGACAGAAATCAGATAAAATTCGAAATATAATATATCTTGACTACCTAAATATTCGATGTAGTACACAAGGTGTACCTTCTACATTTCAGTTGAAATCCTGCCATCCTGAATAAGTCACTTGAATCTTTTGAAAACAGAACAAAAATTACGGCCTCTCGACGCTCGTTTCGCTAATCAAGTTAGCCGTCCTCAGGCGTTTCTGGTGTTGGGAAAGTGTTTTCAATAGATTCATTTTCATTGAGAATATAAAAACATCGTTAAACACTTCAATTTCAGTTTCCATGATAAAACATTTGTACGTAAAAATCAACCACTTGTCATATACTCCCTCTCTGAATCAACCCTCATGTCAAAAAGTTCAAATGGAAATAATATTTGAGTAACATCTTAGTTAAAGGTTCTTCCTATTTTGTATCCAACCCTGTAACATTTTTGAAATTTCAATAATACGCATTGTCAGGAAAAAACAAAATACCCTTTCCAAGATTTTATTCAATTCCAAACTGGAAAGCCAACTTGAAATGAATAAAAACACTTTTGTCTAAATGCATCCTGCAATA